TTTGCTTTTTGTCTTAGTATTGTATGTTAAAGTTTGCATTATTGTGAAGCAATTAGCCTATCGGCTACCCCCACAAACATTAGATAACCCCCGCAATACAAATGCATAAAACACTCTTAAACTCCATTTGGATATTGTGAAGCTTGAGTGACTCCAGTCGCGGGGTGGATTATGTGGGAAAATACAGGGAAAATATCTTGAGTCTAAAGTTATAGTCACATTCTAACGGAAGTTATAACATTAAGGAAATTTTAGGGTGAAACACAGTTGCTTCTTCGAGGAGAGAATGCGGTTGGCAAGCACGGAATCTGTTGCACGGCAGTTCCCCAGGCAACACACCCTGCGGATGCTAAGGGGGAATGACTCGGAGCGGAGTGAAGACACCACGGCCAGGCCCTGTTGTAATCCCCGCAGGAATGGGAACTGGATGGTACCAGGTGGCTGATAAACCGCAGAGCAGCTGTCAACCAAGTGAGAGAGGAAAAGATGCCTTGTTGCTGAACCAGCAACTGTGGCAAAATCGCTCTCCTCAGATGAACCTTGCTCATTATAATCTCATATAATACTGTAATACTGTCACATACCTCCATCCCAAAGTTACCACCCCTCCCTGAGCACGTGGTCTCTATTTTATTAACTATATCTTTAAGAGCAAAGTGACAGAATTTTACACCAATCAGGAACAAAAGTACGTGTGACTGGAGTCACTCAAGCTCCATATAAGTGTAAAGAAATAATGTAACAGTGAGTTAAAAGGGGGAGATATTAGGCAAGACTCCATCCTAATTTCTGGGATTGGTCAATGGGTTGAACCTGGCTTCTCCCTTCTAGGAAGGCCTTTTGGGGAAGAACTTTATTCTAAGTGTGCTAACTATTATTTCAAGCTTTCCTTGATGACTAGAGTTTGTGTATTGCTTCAGACTTTTTCTTGGAATCAGTTCAGTGTCAACATCAATCCCTGATTGTCACAATCTTCTGTGATCAGTGTATTTGTTAATAAAGTATGTTATTCCTTAAACTGTTCTGTGTGAGTCCTTCAAGGGCGCTGGCAGACTGCAGCAGTGGGTAAGACTTGACAAAACTGATAAAATACCAAGAGAGGGCAGGATCCAGCAAGGGGTCTCTCTTTCCAAATTGAAATAAGGGGTTTGGCTCTGACACTTTGCTGGTATCCCTGAAAAGGTTGGTTGACCCACCCTCCGATACAGTTCAAGAGCAGATAAAGTTCAAGAAGCATTTGGACAAGGCTCTCAGGCTCTCAAACACATGGTGTGATTCTTGGGGTGTCCCGTGCAGGGCCAGGGCTGGGCGCTGACAGGCTGCTCGGGCTAGAGGAACTTGTCTTTCCTGGGGCGCTGACAAATCAATCATAATAATATTATTTTAAAAAATCAAATATAAAGGTTTTGAGGAACCCGCCCTTTTATGTGACACTTGGCTAGTGCGAGATCTCTGCGTCAGCTCAGCGCCGCTGAGATAAAAAACCCTCACATTTCCCTCATCTGGTATCTCTGGCTGCCTTCAGTTTCAAATTTAATGTCACGGCTAGCACTGCACGGTAATGTGTGAAATCTCGTAATACAATTTAGTGAACTTTGGATAAACCAGTGACCCGGACTTCGCCGGCTCGGCTCGGCCGGGCTCGGCTCGGCCGGGCTCGGCTCGGCCGGGCTCGGCTCGGCCGGGCTCGGCTCGGCCGGGCTCGGCTCGGCCGGGCTCGGCTCGGCCGGGCTCGGCTCGCTTCTGATTGGCTCACTGGCCGCACTCTCGCTCTCTGATTGGTGGGTAGCCCTGCCGGGAGCAGCGCGCTGGCTGGGGTTGCCATGGCAGCGCGGGACGCTGTGCGGACGCGCGCGGAGGGGTCCGGTCGTGTCCGTGCCCGTGTCCGTGCCCACGTCCCGCCTCCGCCCGGGAACAGGGTCCGGGTGCCGGCCCTGCGGCCGGGCTGCCCCATCTCTGTCCCCGAGGGCGGTGCCTCCTCGTCCCGAGAGGCTGTGGGTAATGGGAGAGAGGCTGTTTTCCTCGGCGGAAGAACACGGAGGGGCTCTACAACAACCGTGAGGGTAGGGGGGCACCGCCATTTTCCCCTCAGCAGGGCTGTGCCCAGCGGGGCAGGTTTGGCTCCCCAAGGGTTTGGCCGCCCTTGGGGCCGGTGAGGGACCCCGGCACGGCGGTGGGGGGAGCAGAGCTCTGCTGCCCGCCCTCACCTGCCCTGCGGTCTGCGGGACCCGCCTCAGGGCCGGGCAGGGTGCGGGTCGGGGGGTTCGGGGTTCTCCTCTCACTGGCCTGGTCCCGATCGCTGCCTCCGAGGTGCAGGGGCCAGGCCTTGCACATGTTATCTGTTAGCTCCGCATTCACAAGCTGCAGGGTTCAAAGAGCTGCCCTGCTCGCACTAGAGACTGGTTCTCTCACAGAATCAGAGAACAGTTTGAATTGGAAAGGGACCTTGAGGTTCTTTCAGTTTTCAGCCCCCTGCCATGGGCAGGGACACCTTCCACTAGACCAGGTTGCTTCAAGCCCCATCCAGTCTGGCCTTGAACACCTCCAGGGATGTGGGACAGTAGAACAAACGTCCTAATATTACAGAACAGCCAACCTGCTCATGGGATTTGGCATTTGCAGGCTGCAACTGCTACATTAACTGCAAATCTTTCTTTTATCCACTCAGATTTTGGAAATGCTTTACTGTATTTCTGTCCAAGCCTGTGGTTAAACCTTTAGTTTTAAGACCTGAAAAACAGCTGCTGTCTCAAGTCAGTGGGCCCTGCCTTTGTTAGTCACGGAGAGCTGGTGTCTCCTAGCAAGACTCCAAACAAAGAAGTAAAAGAAGTAAAAGAAAGGACTCAGTGGCAGCTTGAGTTATGAAGACTGGGGGGAAAAAATCTGCAGTTAGAGTGTTTACCACTTGTGGGTTCCTGAGGGCAGATTGCTGCAGAGGCAGGTTCTCTGTGTTTGCTCTGTTTTGTCTCCCCTGGGGTCCCAATTCTCTGTGATGAGATCAAACACCTCCTTTGCTTTGTGCTCAGAGAAAGGCTCAACCTTTCTTTGTGAGATGGATGGAGTCTTAATACTAGTTACTGAAGACAGAAAAGAGCCTAATGGTTGGTTTTTTTTTTTTAATTTTACTTGTTTTGTAAGATTAGAAATTAAAATATTAGAATATGTATTTTATGTCATTTGTAATTTAAAATATCAAGATATGTATTTTCTTCGCCTCAAACTTGTCCAGGGATTTACAGCATCCCTACCCCAGAAGAACAAAACTACTTGGAGGGAAAGGATATCTGTCAAAAATAGTGTGACCAAGGAGCCCATGGCACCTGTGCAGGTGGGTGGGATCTCTGGCTCATAGGAAGGTTTGTTGACTTGTCTCATACCAAATCTGTAGCACCCCAGTTCAGCCCAGCTTCAGTCCTCTCTGTTTGCCTGTTATTTTGTATCAGAAATTGGGTCAGTGCTAATCAGGGTTTATGTACTGTCATTTATCTGTTTGCTTTAATTGATTATTGCAGGATGAAGGATAAACTGTGAGAATCCTTCCCCTGCTCCTCAGACACCAGGAGGTTGGATATGCTTTCTTGGAACTCAGTAGACTTGGGCTGTCTGGATAAAAGGGAGATTGTTTTTAGAGCAGGAGGCTTCTCACAGGGAACACCAGTCTCCATGGCACAGCTCTCTGCAGGGGCCACTGGGGCACATGTAGACAAAAAATGTTCATTTCCACATGGAAAGTGGCAGGACACCTGCTTTCCAAATCCTGTGTCCTAATTATAATTCCGTGTTTTCTTCTGTATCTCTTGTATCCTCTGTACAGAGGGCGGGGAATCACTATAGAGGAAGGACCTGCTGGGCTGCCACACTGCCAAGGCCAGTGTGTATTTCTGGATTTGGAGCCTGACTTACTGGGGCTGAAAAAATTCCGTGGAGAATTGGGATGTTGTGACCTACTCACTGCAAATTTTTAGTTTTCTTTGTGTCTGATGACAGAATAGAAATCTGGCAGAGTTATGCAGGAGGGAAGGAAAGTCCCTGGTACCATGTGCATTACATTGTTTTTTCCCCTTAATTTGGCTTTACCTGGCTTACATGGCAGAAATGAGGATTTTTCTTTTATAGAAGCAGTTGGAGGGAAGGACTCGAGCTTTCAAATTTGAGGAAGGGAATTTTCAGAACTTGGCCGGGCGAGGCCCTGAGCAATCCTGTCTGTGAGGTTTGCTCTTCTTCAAGCTGGCATGGGACTGGGACTCCTGAGAACCCTCCAACACACACTTTCCTGTGGTTTCTGACTCTTTCAATCAGAAAAGACAGGAAAGCATTTCTGTGAGGAAGCGGGAATATCCAGGCAAGGATATGTGAAATGAAACAAATAAAGATACAGATTGCAGACTGCACCTTGAACCGATGGTAAGAGATTTGAATCTGCAGTCCAGAGAGGCCAGCTGGGAGTCAGATATTGTCAGTGAAGTGCTGGGTTGGACAGAGTAAACTTTTAAATATTGTCTTGTGCAAAAAATATTGTTACCTTCTATGAATATCTGATTTGGAGAGTCTTTGCAGATTCTTTTAACTGGATGTTGCAAAAAATAATTGAAGAACAGAATATATTTTCGTAATTGAAAGATCTGGCTGAAGACTTGAGGTCAGTATCTCTGCAGAAATAAGCTTTTCTTTTGTTCCACTCTTTACTTAAGTAATTTTGTGAATCCATTGTTTCCTGGAAGCAGTGTGTCTCCAGTGAATCTGAAATAAAGATGTTTAAGTGGAGGTTCCTGTAAAAGGCATTTTGCCTCTGTGGTTCTCCTGTCTCTGTTATAAATCGATTCAGACATACTGAGGCACATACAAGAGAGGAGGTGGAATTTTCTGGCTGAAGCTCAGAGTTGATGCTTCACCATAAGCTTTGTCTGGTAGAACTGACTTTAAAACCCACTAAAATGCAGCCATCCCCGGGGGGATGTAGCAGTTACTTCAAAGTGACTTTTATGTGCCTGAAAAAGGCACAAAGGAAATAAGTAATAGTCCAGAGGTGGAATTTGATAACTCTGAAATGTTTTCAAAGCTGACAGGCATTCTGGAATGATTTGTGAACCACTGTTCTTTGAAACAAAATGTACTGTCCACTGTTTGTGGAGATGAGGACAGACAGTCCCACCAGAGGCAGAACCTGACTGTAAACCTGATGCTTCATCTCTGTTTTACTTGCTATGACAGGAGAATGCAGCAGTTAGAATTCCTTTAGAGATTTGCTTCATCAATTGGTAGGAATTGTAAGGAAATGAGGTTTTGCTGTTTATACAATACTTCTGTATGTTTTTGGCTGTTTTAATGTTTCTCCCAGATTATTCCAACCATGCACAGTGTGAGCAGCTCAGAGACTCCCTGGCTAAAAATAATGACACATCTGAGACCTGTGAAAGAACCTGATCAGCCACGGCCTTGGCAGGTGAGTGACTCCCAACAGTTCTTCAGCTGTAGGTTCTACTGTGAAGGATCACAGGAAACCAGTATCTATAACTGGGATCCCAGAGTATTCGGGTGTAATTGGGCTTCTGTATTGGAACTGGCCACCTAATCCCACGGAATTCTGGACAGTATTTGTGTGTAATTTGGCTTCTGTGTTGGAACTGGCCACCTAATCCCACTGAATTCTGGACAGTGTTCTGGTCTGTCTGTCTGTGCCAGACTGCCGTCCCTGGTATGTGCCTGAATTCATCTGTGAGCCAGCAGGAGCCTTATGTCTCAGTCTGTCCCTTCTGGGCACACTCAGAAATGGTTATTGCAGTGTATGTTACTTCCTACTGCTCCATCCCAGTTTGTAGCTTGATTGTGGAACCTGGATGAGGGCCTGATCTTTGTAAAGCAGGTTGGCTTTTTATGCAGACCTCGCCCTTTCTTTACCTTTTTATCCAGAGGTTCTCCTCAGCACCAGCAAAGAGTGTCACAGCAAATACTTCTGACTGCAGAAGAAAATTATTGCCAAAGATTGGCTAACACAGAAGGGCTTCTGTTGTGCAAAGATATGAGTGGAGGAATGAAATGGAAGTTATGAAGGGAGGAATGAAAAATAATTATTTGCAAAGTTCTGCAAAATCTGAGATGTGTTTGTCATGGAGAAGAACAAAGAACTCTGTAAAAAGCAACCAACTCAATGGGTTTTATCAAGCTCTTGCATCCTTTTGAGGCAGCTTTATCGAGTTATTTGCAGTTTGGTATGTGGAAAAGTTTCCCATAAAACCTGAAACAAGCTTGTGACTAGTCACGGACTCATGGAACAGCCTCAGCTGGAAGGGACCTGGAAAGATCATCTGGTTCAACCTTTTTTTGGGAAAGAGACACCAGATGAGGTTGTCTAGCACCCTGTCCAATCACATCTTGAAAACCGTCAGTGATGGGGACTCCACCACATCCCTGGGGAGGTTGTTCCAGTCAGTGATTGATCTCACTCTAAAAAATTTCTTTCTTATATTGAGATGAAACTTCAGCCAATGCAACTTGTACCTCTTACCCCTTGTCTCCTCCCTGTGGCTTCTGGTGCAGAGAGAACCTCCATCCTCTTTGTAGCTGCTCTGTAAGTACTGTGATGAGGCTCTCCCTGAGCCTGCTCTTTTCCAGGGAGAATAGACTGAATTCCTTCAGTCAAAGGAGACCTAATTCCTTTGGTTCTTAAGGAGTCTTCAGACAGGGATCATCCTGAAGGAAGACTTTTCACCTACTCACCAGTGTGTGTTCTGAGTACTTTCTTCTGGTGGTTCTCAGCTGGAGTGATGGCTCTGTCTCCCTGCTGCTGTTACGGTGCTGGTTTTAGAAAGGATCTGTGATTATGTGAAGTAGATTTGTCAGGTGTAATACAACATACCAGTTGCTTCAAATAGTAGGATGAAAGGGTCTTAAAATGTGCCAGCAATTTAGATTTCCTCTTCTCATTTGTTTTTGGTGGTTTTTTTAATACTACTTGTCCATTCCTTGCCTGGTCTGATGTATGATGTCCTGCTTATCTCAGGATAATAAACCTGTTGGAGTGTGGAGCTGGTCAGCAAGGTCAAGACAGATGTGACTGGAAACTACACTGTTTATTGGAAGTAAGAATCAATATTAAGCACAGGGAGTAGCAGGCTAATTTTCCATTCTGTGCATCAAATGCATTCCTTGAGTCTGTGCTACCGCTGGCATGGTGGGCTTGTGCAAAAATGCTGTGGCTGTAGCTCAGTTTTTAAACAACAGAAGAAAGTCACAGCAGGGATGACTTTGAATTCGTCTGTGGAAACCGCAGGAGGAGGCAGCAGGTCAGACAGGTGAAATGTGAACGTTTCAGCCCTGCCTCTGGCTTAGGCCTGAGTAAAACCAGCTCAGTTGAGGTTTGGGATAACCCTTTGTCATTTGGGGTCAGCTGTCCCAGCCGTGTCCCCTCCCAGCTCCTTGTGACCCCCCCAGCTTGCTCACTGGTGGGGTGGGGAGAGAAGCTGAGAAAACCTTGGCTTAGTGTAAACACTACTTAGCAACAATTAAAACATCAACATTACTCTCATCCTAAATTCAAAACACAGCACTGTACCAGCTACTAGAAAGAAAATTAACTCTATCCCAGCCAAAACTTGGACAACTTGTTGCTTGTAGAAGCTGCTGATGGACTCGTGAAGACAAGGTCTCTCTGGTTAACCCACAGAGTTGGTGCAGCCTGATCACAGGGGAGGTACCCCCCTCATCTTCCCTGCAGGAATTCCATCCCCAGGTGAGAGATGGATTTGGTCCGTATTGCTTGTGCTCCTTGGCTGCAGTGCAGGAGTTGAGTTTATGAGACACGTGTTTGGCACAGGTGAGCAACAGTGGCAAGGAACAAGTGGTGTGTGGTCATGGTGAGGAGCAGCCAAGGAAATGTATGGTCTTAACATGTACATTCCTGTTCCCATTCCAGTTCTTCCAACACTCTTCTGTTGCTACTTATCCCCACTGTTCCGAGCAAGTCTCACAAGGATTTGCCAGCTGGGTTATGGTATAATGTGCCTTTGAATTCAAAATAATCACTGGTGTTGTGATTAAAGTAAATCTGACTCCTAGTCTGAGTCCTGCTTTTACTTCATGTGGGTTTTTAATGTTCTGTTAGGTAACACCTGACCAAAGCCGAGACATCATTGCTTCTGTTCAGTGCATCTTGGACAGAGAAAATTGTTTTGTGAGGGTAAGAAGTGGTACCTCTTCTCATTTGTTGTGTGCTTTCCTGCATGTCAATGTGTTCTAGTTTCTGGTCAGTGATTTGTGAGAAAATGTTAATTGTCTGTATTCTTGAAAAACTGATTTAGAAGTATGAGTTTGTGGCCTCTCCTCTGGATATGACTGAAGTAGTAACCCTAAATGTGAATCATAGGTAACTTACCTGCCTGTTTGCACCTAATATTTGCTCTGTGGGTGTGGTTAGTTGGTCAGTGAGCAAAAGGCTGTGAGCAAAGGGCAGCAGGGCTGATCTGATTTGATTTGATCTGATCTAGCAGATTGCCAGTGCTGCAGGGAGAGGGTCCCTCTCCTGCTGCCTGTCTTGCACAGTCTGCTGCTTATCAGCCCCCTGTTCTGCAGTGATTTCAGCTCAATAACCTGATGGGAAAAAGTGAGTAATTTTCTGCCAGTCTTGCACCACAGTTTCAAAAGTTAAGGGTCTGAATGCCAGGGCTCTTGCAAGTGAGAGGTTGGAAATGAGTGGTGGGAAGTGGAGAGAGGGAGGAGCACAAAGAAGGGCTGGAAAACAGCCCTCTTGGAGCAGAGACCAGTCAGCCTTCACCTGTGAAACCTTTAATGTGCTTGGCCAATAATTTGTATGGTTTTATTTTGCATTTCTTACTTAGGAGGTGGACAGATACCTGAGGCACAATGATTTCCTAAATCTGAGAAAGAAGGAGATCGTGTACAAGGAATGGCTTAAGGATGTTTTAGAGCCGGTGCTGCAGAAAATTGAGGACGAAATGGGCAGCCAGTCAATCGAAGAAATGCAGAAAAGGAAACAAGAACAATTGTCTCAATATTTAAACTACTGTAACAAGAAGGTATCAAGGAGAAGTAAATTTCTGTCATGGAGAGGCTTGCATAGGGAGGGCTTTGGACAAGATCAGGGGTTTAGCTGCTATTTGCTGTCCATTGAGTAGCCTGGAATTCAGATGCACCTTATCTGTAACTTACCTTTCTTTCCCAAGGACTTCTGCAATGGTGACATATGATGTTAGAGCTGTTTAAGTTCACCATCAGATACAAACAATAGCCTTGCTTGGGTCTGAATATTGATGTGTATTTCCCTTTGTGATCTGGATCATGTAGTGGGAAAAACTGAGCTCTGTCAGCTGAAGTCAAAGGCTGACTGAGCAGGGAGTGGACTGCACTCTCATGTCTCAGAAGTTAAGCTACATCACTACTGCAGTATGTTGGCAGAGCACGAATGAAATGATTTTGTGGCCTTGGATGCTACTGATCAAGCTTCATAAAAGAAAAAAATGTGGGAACAGGGAGATACAAACAATTTTCTTGAAGTCTGTATACAGGCAATAGACCCAACTTTTTGTAGTTCCATGGGTTTTAGTACTCAGAAAAAGTGCAGTCACTGTAGGAAATACTTGTTGGTTTTCTTCATTTTGCTCTGAATTTCACACCACTGTTGAGTTTCAAATCCCACAACTCAATTTTCTGCATCTCAGGAATGGAAATGTAGAGCAGTAAGAGCAGTTACATAAAAATGATAATAGTTTATTGAGAGCAGGAATTTGTTGTCAGTGGAAACCACTGCACAGTGGAGTCATGAGACTGTAAACAACCTTCTCAGCCAGAAATGAAAATGTCATGGAAGCTGCGTTGTTTTAACGAGAGCAAATGATTTCTTTTTCAAAGGCCTGATGTGACAGACCCATGCATTTAAACTGCATGGAACAACAAAGACCTGAACCAGTCTTACTGCTGATGTCCTAGGATTTAGGATATGTTGGGTGTACTGCACATATCTGGGTCTGCATCAGTCCACTTCCAAGCTTCTGTGTCAGGTCAGGAATTTGCTGGGTGTCCTCCAAAAGCAATGGCTGATGTGCTGGGATGTGTCCTCCTGGAAGGGAAGCACCAGCACCAGCGATCAGCCTCCACCTTTTCCCCTTGCTCTGTGGTGTCTGCTCTATCATCAGCATGTCTGCAGAGCAGGTTGAAGCCCTTCGGAGTTACAGGACAACTTACTTGCATAAGTTTGCATTGACCGTGGCAGCACATGATACATTTTGCAGAACTTGAAACATTTCTGTAGATATACAGGTTAATATACTGACTTCTGGCTATGTATTTTCCCCTCACTCCCTTCTTTTTGTCCATTTGCTCTCTTCCCTGCTATTAGGCTTCTCCTCCTGTTTCCCAGATCTACTGACCTTCCCATGCCTGTGATTGGTCCATTCCTTCTTTCCATGTCTATTATTCTTCCTCCAGTCTTCTCTTCTTGCTCTCTTTCTCTCTCGTCAACTCTTTTACTCCATCCATAAATCCGTTTTGCCCCTCTTTCTTCTGTCACACTCCCCACTGCTGTCTCCATCTTCTTGTTGCTTCTGATAATTCCTCCAAGATCTTCACTGCCCTTTGCTTTCCAAAGCTGTCTTTTCCCCCTTTCCTCCATTCTCCTCCTCTCCTCACTCTTTTTCCAAATCCCTCCATCTCAGTCTTTGTCAGCTCACTCATCTGCCTTTTTCACACCATCTGACCTCTCCTCCTTTACCTCCCTTCCTTGACTCCCTGTTCTTCCAAGGACCTGCTCATATGTGGGGGTTTTTGCCTCAAATCTGCCTCCTTTTCACTGCCTTTCTCGCTCCTCCTCCCCTCCAGTCCTGTGGCCATGGACTGCAGGTGCCTAACGAGATGGTTGGTCAGAGTGAAGATGGCAGTGTGAGAGTGCAGCCTGCAAGGAGAGGGGATTCCCCTGCCTGGGTTGCTGCTGTGTTAGCTACAACTCAGCTTCTGGTAGTCCAGGCTATTGTAGGCATTGTGTGCTGCAGAGAAAGAGACCCCCCTGACTCATTTTGAAGAGCTTTTACTCTGCTTTATTCCAAGGGCTGTGTGAGGGGTAATGCATCGACCACGTGAAGGGATCAGACCTGGGAGTGCAGCAAAGCACCTCCGTGATCCACTGAGGTCTCAGCAGAGCCTGTAAAGGGGTGATATGTGATAATAAACCAAGGGGTGGCACTAAAACTCTGCAAATTGAGCTCTATTAGGGCCTGAAGCTTTCCAGGGACAGAAACATGAGATGATGAGTGTGGCTGCTGCTTGTTGTGTGGGGAATTGCCAGATCCTGAGGAGCAGAGGCCCCTGCAGAGGCAGCATTCACACTTAGCAGTAGAGAAGCCCCACGGTGCTTCCCGAGTGTCTGAGAACAGCACAGGCCCTCAGGGCCTGGCTCACTTCCATGTGAGCTGCTTCAGCACAGTGACCTCTTAAATCTACTGTAGATCCCACTTTTTTTTTGGTTGGACTTGTCTTGCAGAGCTCCTGAGCTGTTCAGGCTAAAGTATGGTTTTTTCCAAGTCTTGAAATCACATCCACAGATTGCCATGAAGAACTGTGTAGGGCCGAGATCTAGGAGGCCGTGGGCTGAATGCTCCCTTCCTTCCTGGGATCCCTGGAGAATCACCCACACAAGAAAGATTAAAAAGTTCATTTCCAAGGTTTTGTAAGAACGAATATTAGGGAGGACTATTTTATGTGCTTGTTATAGGGAACTTGAACTGCAGAACATGTTGATTGTTGCAGGCAGTTTTTGATGAGAGGGAGCTGTGACCTGGACTATGAGGTGTGGCTCAGGTCTTTACTCTTATGTCTAGATGGAAAAGCCAGCTCATGAACCCAGACCAGTGACCTGCCTAGGGCTGTGCCTGCTGAGGGCTTACCCACTCCTTTCTTTTTTTCTTTTCAACAGCTGTTTCCTTCTCTGTCAAAACATTTTGCCTTGACCGAAATTTCCACTGTCTTGACTGCCCTAGTTAAGGTTAGCATCTTAGCCTGAAACTATTTCTGGATGCTCCATGAAATCATGTATTATGTAGTTATGCCTATGATAAATTAAAATGGATAGAGGAATTTTCCTGTTACACTTCAGTCACCTTATTTCTGAGGTGCAGTGTATGAAAATTTGGGAGTCCTTTTCTCCACCCTGTCCATCACAGGCTGTGTTCCACCCAGGCTGGCTGCTCTCACCATTGTATCACCTAAGGCTTCTGAGACCTGACCCAGTACCTGCTTCTCCCACAGGGCTACGTGTTTTTGGACTATTTTGACCCATCAGAGTATGATCCATTCTCCCAGAAGACGTGCACAGACTGCTGGAAGGTGTGAGGTTTGGAGTTCCCCTTTGACCAGCAGGCAGTTCATAGTTAGGAGGCAGAGCATGTTACTGATGTGCTGCTGTAGGGAAACACATTCTAGTTTTATTACCTGAACAAATATGGGTCCCAGCTCCTAGTGCATTTAAGCCCAAGAGTATTTGAACATGGTTTTCAGCAGGAATGTGGTTTGGATCCATACTAAGCCCAGATTTGGAGGCACAGTAGGCAATGGCAGGGGGGAGGTTTGTTTTCCTCATTTTAAATCCACTGCAGCAGCACAGGGAGTGTGTTCTGTCTAAGGAGGGCTGGAGAGTTCCCAGGCAAGCTGTGTGTGTGCTCTGTAGAAGGAACTACTCTGGCAGCTCAGCTGATCTTTACAGGAGCATGGCAATAGTTTTTACTTCTGTTTAAAGAATGAAAGTCATCAATCACCACAATGACAGCGAGAGCCAATGATGTCACCTGTCCCCCAGCTGACCAGAGCAGCAAGCACAGCCATCAGAAGGTACACTTTAGGTTACATCTCCTGCCAAAGCAAGTGGTAACAGGCCAGGTCTTCTGGCAAGCTGCAATAAACTTACTGTCTTGAACGTGGTTCTGAAATGTTGTTACTCAGCAGCCAAAGAAATGTCTGGGATGCTGCTTCTGTTGTTGCCAGCTCCAGTTCATGCTCTACAAGCCAAAATCTGCTGTTTTAGATTTAACTTAGGCTCAGCTCAACAAAAACAGTGCTGGTGTTCTCTCCTGAACACAGTGTACAAGCAGTAAATCAAACTTTTAACATACATTCTGAGAAAGCAGGAAATAAGTAGGGGAGGGGAGATGGGAAGTGCTTTTCAGAGAGTCTGTGCTGAGCAGCAGCTGAGCCAGTGCCCCACAAACCAGTCTCTCTCCCGTTCCAGTGTGGTCCCATCTCCCCCCTGGTCTGGCTGCACAGCAACTCTGGTCTCAAAGCCTGGAAAGAGAAAAACAGAATTTCCTCTATTCTCCAATCACTGTACAGACATAATCTCTCAAGAGTTGCCAATATTGAGTTTTATTTAGGATTAGAAATACTGAACCACAGAAAACTGTTAAAAGTAACAGAGGTTGACTCAGTAAGGAGGGTGCACAGATGGTGACTGCATGGGAAACTGCCAGAGTTCAGGAGGAATTGCTGCACCCGCGGAAAGGGCTGCTCAAGGAGGCAGTAAAATGGTTACAATGTATCAAACATTCTATAAACAAACTTTTTTTTTTTTTAACCATCCCTGATTTGGTGCCAAGAGAAAGCTTTTGCTTTCAACCAGCTCTTTTTACAGGTTTGTGTTGGGGTGTAGTTCCCCCCAAGCAAACTTTTTAAACTTGTAATAAACATTTCTTGAACGAATCCTGTAAGTTTTTCTCATTATTTCACATTCCCCTGTACAATAAAATATACTTTTTAAAAATCAATAAACATCTGTAGACAAATTACATTAATAAACTTATATTTTACTCTCTATATACATGTTGGCAATGTCAAAGCTTCAAGATTCACATGGAGGTCTGCAAGACCAAGGAAATGTACACAAATAACTTATATTTAGGAAAAAAACCCCAAAAGCTGAAGAGTATTTTGCCACATTATTGTGGGTCACAGTATTTAAAATATTTTTTCTAGTTATTCTTCACAACAACATTGTCTTAGCAGAGAATGATGAATCAAACTGAAGCAGAAATTAAAATCAAGTAGCAGTTACTGATTCCAGTGCAGAACTAAGTCAAGTAAAGAACTACACTTGATTCTTAAAGAATATACAATATATTGGAGACTTCTCCAGTACTAAGGCTTCTTCAGCATTTTACCTTTAAAACCATCATCCTGAGACGGGAAGATTCCAGTGGATATCACTTTTAGGATTTCAAATGGAATGATTCCAGTGTTGAGCTTAAACCATTCCTCAGTCTGTCTGTCAGACCAAGTGGTAAAATATACAAACAGCTTGGTGCCACATTTCTACTTAATACTTTTTATGGCCCTGAAAATGGAAACATTGGCATCCAAACCCACGATATTCCAACATAATAAAAAGGCACTGAGCTATAGTACTGTATATACAGTAACATTTGTGTTTGCATAGATCAGCAACAACTGGGAACACTGCAAGGAACTAAGCACAAGCAGGAACTAAGAGGAAACACGGAGGCAGCAGGAACTCTTGCTTAATAACCAGCGTGGGGCAAGGAATCTTTTACCAAAAGATATTCAGTCTGTCAGCTTCAGTTGTCCTTCATAAATTAAAAGAAGTTGTTCTTAGAAGAGTGCTTTCTGATCAAAGAGCTGCAGGTCAAAGCGCACCCAGACTTCTCCAGTTGGAACTTCATGCAGCAGTAAGTGTTTAGTCATGGGGCCTTTGCTCTCTTGTTCTGTTCGGATTTTTGCTACTGGAACTTCGGTGCGACCCAAAAAATCTGTTGGGCAGGTGAGTAAGACATTTCATTAGGCAAGGACAGCTTAGCAAACCTGAGTCAGGTTAAGCAGCAATGCTGCATAGTAGGTGTTCAGTTCCAGAGCACTGCTCCCAGGTTTCCTGTTTGACTGGCCCTCAGCCCTGTGTAAACCAGCCAGCAGTGACAAAAAAGGGTCTTTTTAGAAGACAAAAATGCTATGGATTTAGGATGGACAACATGCCTTTATTGTCATGTTTGAGCTTAGGGCTTTAAAAACACTCTTAGAAAATACCCTTTCAGAAACACAATTTCAAATGTTCTCCAGTTTTAGAGCTGGCAGGTCAGAGTTAGGTGATAGAAGCTGTTTACAAATCAGCTGAGATGCCACAAGGACAATAAAAAAAATCAACTGTTTTGGCTCAGCCAACTTTTATTAAGCTTATATATCATTCTTCTCTCAAGAACAATGACCTTGAACAATTACTACCACTAGTAGGTTTATAGTTCTATTCAGAAATCATAAACCTTCTTTGTGGCCATTTCTTATACAACATCTTTGTGTGTGTCTGTGCATTAAAAGGCTCAGTGTGAACTGAAAAACCAGCAGACTCTGCTGTCCAGCTGGGAGAAGCAGCCAAAGTCATGTTACCTCACAGGAGAAAAGACTGAGCTACAGTTACACACATGGCACCTCAGGTCAAGGCAGTTCCTAGCAAATCTGCAATAATCAACCACATGTCAGCCCTGAAAGAGCATTTAAGCTTTTAGGGAGTACCTGACAGCTTGTTTCCAAGCAAAACAAGAAAGCTTATCAAGCTGTTGCCGTGCAGATACAACCTGGCACCTTATTTTTGGGCACCTACAGTGAGAGAGTAAAATTTCTGCTTTCAAATTCTCTGTCTGCCCAGTCTGACCAAAAAAAAAAAACAAACCATGACTGACATAAAAGCCAGAGTGGAATCAAATCTGACTGCCTGGAGCTGCTGGCTCTGGAAGGCTACTGAACCTCCTGTGTCCTGAGGCACTGCTTTCACACAACACTTCCCAGGCAGCAGTCAAGAGCCATAGGCTCTCAGAACTGCTGCTTTTCCTAAATGTCCACACTTACCATCGGGTGAGAACTGATCCCTGTCAAACATGGTGATACACAGGACATCCTGATACAGGTCCTTGATGAAGAACTGGCAGTTGAAGTTCCACTTGGGGTTCAGGGTGTCCTGCATGGTTCTGGTAGTGTAGCTCTGCGAGCCCATGCTGATCTCACAGTACGGGTTGCTCTTCCCTAAACACAGAACAGGGAGTGAAAATCCCCTGCAGTGCAGAAACCTCCCCTCCATCTGGAGCCTTCCTGGACACACATCGATGCTGCTGCCCAGATGTGGATCAGGCAATCCCTATATCCCACAGCAGCACAGAGCTGGTTCCTCACTTGTTCCTCTGAAGCTAAAGAATGGCTAATTCATACAGAAACTGTAGCTGAACCACAGTGTTTCCCAAATCACCAAACTCCTCTCAGCAAGCCTTTCCAAATGTTACAGGAATAAAAGTGATCTGAGACTGTTTCCCTCACTTACCATTGGGCTTACAGGCCTTTAGTTCTGTTGCTTCAATCACGTGCACCATCAAACGTCCTATTCCTGAGGTTTTCTGCGAGCGAGCTGGGAACAGAGAGGTCAGAAATAAATGGATTGGTTGGAACTGTAAAAACTGGCAATAGATCTGAAGAGGGAGATCCTGCACAGACACTGTGGCATCCTCCAGGTGGATGAGAGGGAAATACAGAACTCTGTAGGTACCTTGATAAGCCTTTTCACGTTTCTTCTTCTCTGTTTCGATGTACTGCTCTGACGCCGCTTTGATTTTCTGGACCCAGGCAGTACTGCAAAGAGCAATCCCTACAGTCAGGGTCATGCCACAGGCAGGGAAGTCTTCAGCATCAGTGACTCTGCCCCAATCTCTTTGGCCATTCCCCCCCCTGGGTTTCAGAGGCATCACAAATCAAGTTAGGTCTTGGACTAAAGTGATGGAGGTTTTGGATTTAATCTTAATGCCACATTCCAAATCAGACTAAATAAACACAAAGTGGAACTGCTGTTCTATTAAAGACTGCTGGGTCACATTAAAAACTGACTAGGACTGGGGAAAAATCCTATGGGATGCTGGACTTTGCAGCCCTAAACTATTCTTGTATACAACAGTAACATCAAGGAGCAGCAGATGTGGCTGGATTCCACTGCAAGAGCTGCTGCACAAGCAGAACAAAATCAGAGAAAACCTGTCATTCAAATGAGAGTCAAGTGGGTTTATTTCCTGACCAAGGGACTAAACCCTATTCTTGAGCTGAGAGCCCCCCATGTCTGCTCACTTGAGACGGCCTGCAGCCTCGATCTGCAAGTTTAGGCTCAGATCTGCACTGTCACTACTCACCGCTCGTTGATGTTGTCAGTTTTAAGTGTGTAAACTCTGTCGATGTGTGATATGTGGAAAACTGGCTCATCGCTTGAAGGGTCTGTGGGCAGTTTCACAAGGACTTCATTAAGGAAAACCGGCTGAAAGAAGAGCAAATGTCACTGTCCCAGCATCACCCTGTGACAATGAGCTGAAAGTTTACAAGGATGTTTAAATACATTGTTTTACTGTAGGGAAAACTAAAGTCATAGGACATAGGACAAACAATGAGATCATCGTGTAAAGGATGTGAGAAAGGGCTGAGAGAAAAACTACTCTGGCAATACACCCCATTCTCGTCTTCCTAGATGGAGAGCTTTGTGAAAGGGGCATGTCTGTGTAAGCAGAGCTGCAGTGTGAAGCTTGGAAGTCCCTGGAATCTCTCAGGCTTCCTATGGGAAAGCAACCCTGATACTTAAACTTATCTCCCCAACTTCAGAATCTTGAGAACATGCACTGTGTCGACAGAGTGACTAAAATTTTGCACCCTTTACTGTTTTCTGAAGAAGGACAGGAAAGTTCTTGTGGATGCAACTTGTGCAAACTCAAGTCAAGGTTCCTGCCTCTGAACATCCCACTGAGCTGCTCAGGCACGATGCTACTTCTGCCCTTTCCTCCCCAAAGTGGATGGAAGTGTTTGTTAAACCAAGACACAAAAGCCTGTCCTTTTCCAGGATCCAAGCCAACGGCAGTTGTGCAAGTTGTCTGCCAGGACATGCCTGTATGACAGCAAAAGGGGCCAGGCAGCTAATCCCAGCAGAACAGCAGCATTCCTCATCAGAAGCCAGGATCCACTGCTACTAACATGACCATGAAACACCTTGGTTCACTCACCATTTTGTACATTTTGAACTGGGAGTTGGATTTGGGGCTGAACAGTTTATCGGAGCCAGAAGACACAAACTGTTTAACCATGTAGGTGAGCAGGAGGAAGTCATTGAAAAGGAATCCGTACAGCTCCTTACTGCTCTTGGCCTTGTACAGCTTCCCACTGTGCAGGAGCTTCCGTGGTCCCAGGCAGTTTGTGAGGGAGTTGAACACAGGTTGCTAGGAGAGACAAAACTCATTAGCACCAGCAACTTCATGCAGAGATCAGCTCCTGCTCCTCTTCACCGTGGAGATTGTTCAAGTTGCTCAAAACGCCCTTCTGTTTTGTTTAACGAATTTAGTTGCAAATTAAGAAAAAGGAAACTACTCTGTGATCAGCCATGGTAACAGCACAACTCCCAACTCAGAGTAGATTTAAGCTTTTACCAAAACACATACGGGGTTCTGACTGGATGCGGGCATTTACTGCGCAGCCACTCCTCTGTTGTCCAGAAGCTGTGTTTAGAAAGAGCTGCACAGTCTGCAGTCAGGCACTCTTACAGGTGCATGAAGAGGTGATGGAACCAGGACAGACCTTCTGGGCCTGTCAAGCCTTGGTTCCTTAGGCAGCCAGTGGAGAACTGTCACACCTCATTTTGAAGGCTGTCCTGAAAGGTACAGGAGCCTGAACTCCACATATCT